TATATATATATATATATATTTATATCTGCAAAATGATTAGTTGTCATTTTTGATAGAAAAAACGAAGACAAGAAAAATTTATTTGCCTAATACTTTATTTTTTTTTTATGTTTGTTTTTCTTTTACTACACACCAAAGAAAAAAACACTCAAATAAATCGCGCAAAATGTTTTGTAGAAACGTGCACGAAAGCAAAAAAACAGAGGGGTGTTGTTTCACTAAAAAAATAACCGAACAAACGTACATGTATGGTTAAGTTTATCAATAATGAACAGAGTGATACAAAAATTTTGCTGCATAGGCGCAAGCGACTCCTGTTAACTCTACTAAAAAAACACACAGAAACACACATTGTAACTCTAATCACGGATGGGGGTGTTTAAATATCACACACAAACACACACACACGCACACAAACAAACAAACAAAAAATTGGCACTTTCTCAATCAATTAGTTTTTTCTTTGGTCACCATTCACGTTTAATTATTATGAACAAAAAAAACATCTTCGTCGATCTAATGATTGTTTGATCAATTAGCACCAGAAGGAGCATTCTAATACTTGAGTATATGCGCATCTCCTCGAAGCAGCCAAAAAACGTAGTTCCTGAGCTGTAAACATGAAAAAAGAGCAAATAGAAACTAACCGGTAAAGCGTGAAATAAATAAGCAAAGGCAAAAAAAAAGTCACACGGTGAACAAAAACAAAACAAGAGATAAACTGTATGAGATTTAACATATCTCTTCAAAAACAAAAACAGAAAACGATTTTTGTTGTTTTTCTTTTCTTGCTAAACGAATACACACGCACACACACACACACATATGAATCGAGAGAGAAAAAACAGAACTACAACCAATAGTATGTGTGTGTATCAAAGCGATAAGTTCAATACAGAGACAGAGAAAAAAAAGAAGAAGAAACTAGTGAAAGACTCGCGCTAAACACAAGAAAAGAGGAAAACAACATCTATATCTAGTGTGAAATAGTAGAAGATCACTGCGCACACATGCGCTACCTACATTACACACAAACAAACAAACGAACAAATCAAATTAAATCAAAAGAAAACAATGAATAACTTTAGAACTAAAAAATCATTAAGTCCATCAAATATTTTTTGTGCATTGTTTAAAATTGCACTAAAATCGCACCTTTGTTTGGTTCAGTATATCTAAAGAAATTAAAAATTGATAAAAAAAACCATATTCCTTTGATCATATATACAAATAGATGATTCCGTTCAATTGTTTGAATCATTGATCAACAGAAAAATAGTACTATATCCAAAATTTCTACTAGACCATTACTGTAGGATATAGGAAACTCTTAAGTAACATTCACTGAACGTTAATTATGTCAAATATTATTATTTACACACGTAATTGATACTAGAGCAAACTAAAGATTGTCTTATCTAATCTATTGAATCCGGTATCTTAATCAAATAAGCGTTATCTTCGAGATCGGCCCTACCCTTTTAACTTGGAATTTTATATGTAAGAGAATCAAGTCATTTAACTTTAAGCATCACTGGAAAATGAAGAAGTAATAACTCATTCCTCCTACTATCCAAAAACAGTTTTAATAGACTAAATGTAACCTTGTATAGAAGGCCAACATGACTTATTTAGTGTATATTAATCACATAATGCATATGCTATTGAATCGAGAAACACATACAAAAAGCTACATATATATATTTTATTGTATCTTACTTATAATTTTTTTGTCGTAAATAAGAAAGAATAACTGATCGTATTTTTCCATAACCACCACCAAATGGTGAACTTTTTCCATACCCAGTTATAATTTCAATAGATTTAGGTGTTGTTCGTCTATTTCCTTCACATAATTCTTGTTCTACTTGTTTAAATAAAGTAAGTGCTTCATCTGCATGTAATTCATGAAGATCAAGACGATGTGTTTGACGAAATTGAATCAGTCTTGTTCTTGATAAATATTCACATGCTACACGATTAGCATCTTTCATTAATCGAGTTTGTTCTCGAGCTTGATTTATATAATAGGATGCAACACCAGTCATTCCATGACGATTTGCTTGATCAGCTTTAAGATAACAATCTTTACGATTTAAAGCATAATTACGAGCATCACGTCTTGACGTTTCATATGATTCAAGAACAGGTTCAATAACAGATTTTGTTGGTATAGTAGTCTTAGTAGTAGTAGTAGAACGAATATTAGTGGATGATGATTGAGGTGGTGATGATGGAGATTTAGGAGTTCTTGATGTAATTGAAGGATCTACATCTAACATAGATGATATACAAACTAATGTTAAATCATAATCAGATTCATTTTCACGAAATATATCATAAATAACATCAGAAGACATATTCGGAAAATGAAGTTCTAATTCTTTTAATTTATGTTGACTAGCAAAATCCAACTGACGTTTCTAAAAAATACATATGATAACAAAATTTGAATTATTCCTATAAAGTTTCTATACCTGTACTGATTTTTGTGAACTAATATAATTCAATTCTTCATTCATAATTTGTTGTAATGATGGACTATTATTTTTCTTATTTGATTCGTTCTGTGACGGTAAATTTCTTTGAGGTGGTGGTGGTTGTTGTTTATTTATTTTTTTATTCTCTTTTATTAATTTCTTTTCATTCACCGGTTTAGTTGTTTTAGTAGTTGATACACCTAGAAATCTTTGTAATGCTTGATAAATATCCATCGAAAGACCATCATCTAACGGTAATGATAAACCATCGGCTGTATAAGAAAAATCTGATTTTGTTGGTAATTCACCATATAATTCTTGTAAAGAATATATTATTGACCATGGTATTGTTAATTGATTTGTATCAGTTATTTCTATTGAATTCTTAGTTGTTTCATTATCTAATATTAATTCTTCAAATACATCTTCATCATTTATATCTTGAAGTAAATCTCCAATTGATATTGTATCAAATGATGGATTTGAATGTTTAATTTGTTCATTCCAAATATTTAATGCATTCAAACTTAATTGTCGTAGTGTTGGAAATGTTGATGTAAGTTGAATATGTTGAAGATAGTCATCAACTTGTGTTCGTGTCCATTGAATATCCGAATTACAAAGTTCATAGAATTGTTTTATTATGTCTGATGATACACGTTCCGAATAGAATTCAATTAATTGTGATAATGAATCAAAATAATGTTCATCTAAATCAACTTGTATACCACGTTCAGTATAACCTGCTGGTGGTGAAATTGGTGATGAAACCGTTGATGAAGTTGATGATACATGACCAATTAAAATTCGATCAGAACTATCATCTTCTTCATTAAAATTATTGGACGAACATTGAATAGCAATATGATTAATAGATATGGACGGACGTGGATCAGTTGATGCCGATGATGTAGTTAATTCATTATGAATTATATCTAATAATTCTGATTTATTATTTGTGGTTTTTGTTTGTTGCTGTAGAGTTACTGATGAATTATCCCTAAAATAATAGAATGGTAATACGTGTCAAAAATATTTTTTAACGATCCAATAGAAAAAAAGCATGTTTGTTTTTCTCGTTTTGATTATTATTTATAAAAAATATAATATTAATTTACCTCATTGCTTCTTTATACATTTTCTTTAATGTACTATCCATTATATAAATTTTGTTTTATGTTTGAAAAAAAAAATGATCATGTGAAAATAAACTCGTCAAAAAAATAAGACAACTATTTATGGCGTCCTTTACATGTTGACTAAGAGCGACACAATGCATGTGCAACAGCTCGATATCACAAGGCAAAGAAAGAGAACGAAGAAATGAGTCATAGCCACTCTGCTATAGGGAGAAATATAAATAAGCATCATTTACCGAGAAAAACTTCCTTGTAAATAAAATTGTTCAGTAAAATTCTCAAGTGAATCATCATTATTATTTTGTTCATCAATAACAATAAAATCAGAGCAATCTTCTGGAAGAAAAACATTATATGTTGATTGTTGAGAATAATTATCTTTCATATTAATCATATTATTGTTATTATTATTATTTGTATTAAATAACATTTCAGTAGATGTTTCTTGTTTATTTTTATTTTTTCTTCGTTTTTTTCCAATAATACTTGAATTTGTTGATGATGGTGGTGTTAAATTTTCAATACAACGTGAAAATGCGGCGGTTGGTAAACGTAAAAGATGTTCACTTGTAAATGAATGATCTTGATTAGCATTTGTTGATGAAAAACGTGATAATGATCGATGAAATAATGAATGTGGCGTTGATGGTGTTGTTGGAGATGTAGGAATTAATGATAAATCCGAAAATGGTAATAATAATGATGTTGATGATTGATAAAAATTAGATGTTAAAAATAAAATCATATCATTTATACATAGACGAACATCAGTAAGTATATTTATATCATCAATAGTACCATAAGATTTTTTCGATATTAATATTGGATCGATTGATTCATTATCTGTTTGATGTTGATCAAAAATTTGTTGAGATTGACAAGGAAGAAATAAATTTGTTTGCATTTGATCAGTTATATTTTGAACGGTTATATTATGTTCAAAACGATTTAAAATTTCTTTAATACGTCGTAATGGTAAATTATGAACATTACGTCTAAATTTTCATGCAAAGAAAAACAATATTATATATGCACATATAAAAGAGAAGAATTTCAATTAAAGTTTTCAGACTTATAATGTCGGATCAAAGAGAGAGAGAGAGTAGTATATAGAAATATTCGATGTGAATGTTATGTTTCTATTTTTATTTAGGAGATTTATCTTTAGTCATACTAAAGAACTTTTCATTTTAGCTAAATCTTTTACATTAATCAAGCATTTCGAAAAATGTTATTCGTGCATTATCTGTATAGCAAAGGAAATATGAGCTTTCAAAATAAATAGTAGATTTCCATTCTAAAAAATTTACTCGAATTCGGATAAATATACAAACTAACATATAGATGTCGTTAAACGAGCATTAATTATTACTAAACTTCTCCGGTTCTAATTTCAATTACTGACAATATATAGCAACTATCCTAGAAATTAAATAAAAGGTCAATGCATAAGCTTAAAAGAATAAGCTTCCCAATAAAAAAAAAATGTTCTTCTACATATGAAAGTAAACACATACCACATAACTAAAATAAATGAATATCTGTATAGGAAATGGATAATACAAAATAACAATAACAAATTTTAATAAGAAAATAAACTTACTTAGCTAATTCACGAGCTTTATAACGCCATGGTGTCTGTGGTTCAATAAGAAGAATGTCATAACCAGCTTCTTTACCCTGAATTATTCACATATAAATTAAGAAGAAAATAATAGTGAACATTTACCAAAATGACATATGGTTTCATTTCCCATGATGTTGTATTTGTATTATCAATAATTATGGGAGAAATATTTTGTTTAAATGCATCCGATGCTAAAGAAAGAAAGATAAATAAAATTTATTTTTTTTTCGTCATGTTTTTTTCTAAAACTAACCTAAACATTGATTATAATGTTGAGCATGTTCAAAGTTAGATAAATCATTAAAATATTCATCTATGGATAATATTTGACCATCATAACCATCATTTAAAGATCTATATGATAAAATATAAAATCTGCGATTCAAATAGATCATATCGAAACTTACTTAGCTAATGTTGATTTACCAGAACCTAAAAAGAAATAAAAATAGGTATAACCAGGTAAAGAAATAATTACTAAATATATGTAGTTTGTTATATAGAACAGTCTATCTATATATAATTATAGATGCTTTTACATTTGATTATTTTTCTAATACAACATCAATGCATGAAGCATTATGCATTGATGATGAGGATGCACTGTACTATACTTAACCGTATTTTATTTGATCGATTGGAGAAAATGATTTGTTTATAGTACGCATAGAATATAGTAGATAGTTTCTTTTTTTTTTGTATATTAGATCGATTACAGATCGAAAAAAAAGGAATTATGAAATTTTGTGATGGGATAGATTAGTTATTTAATTGAAAAAAAGAAAAAATTATTTACCAGGACATCCTCTCATAATAATTAATAATTTTTCATCATTATCAAGTCTTGCATGTATATCATCAATAATAACTTGATTATAATCTGTTGATATGGTTGTTGGAAGTATTTTATTTTCGACAATCATAACAGGATTATTATTTGATACATTATTTAAATCATCATCATCATCGGATGTATTTGTTGTTGTTGTTGTATTATCACCAACAGATGAGAGTGATGATGATGGTGGTGATAGTGTTTTATGTATTTGTTCATCTGACACTAACTTTTGAGATGTATTTGATGAATTTACATATTGAATATCATTATATGAACGATCAAATTTTTTTGTTTTCTTAGATTTAACTTCAATCCAATCATCAATTAATTGTTCTTGTTGTTTAGGTGTTTCTACTGATGGGACATTTCGTGTTTTATTAAAATTAGTTCGATTGGATGGAAATGGACGCCGCCGAGAAGAATTATCTTTGAAGGTGCGAGTTTGTGTTGGATGTTGTTGTTGCTGTTGTGGTTTCATTGTTCGATCTTTTGTTGATAATTGAACATTTGATGGTTGTTGTTGTTGTTGATATTTATTATTAGTATTAAGATTTTTATTTGATTTATTAACATCAGGTGTTTGAAGAATAACAGTTGAATATGTTACCAATGGTACTTTTGTTGATGATAATAATAAATTTTTATTATCATCTTGACTAGATGTTGAATTAGGAATAGATGAATCAATTTTTGATGGAGTTATAGTTGTATTATCATTCGTATTGTTAGCTGAAATGATTTCTGATGAAGATTCTGTTTGAGTTTTTGCTTCAGAATTATTTTCTTCCACACGATGATTATTTAATGGTGGAAAATTGATTTCATCATCAATTAAAATATTATTATCTGATGAAGATGTATCAGTATCAGTACATGTTGGTACCCATTCAGCTGCATCTGGATTAAGTAATGAACTGTTTGAATTTATTGTTGATGAATTATTGTACATATATGGTGATGGTCCATACATTGAATATGGTGAATATGGAGCATAAGCTGATGGCGGTGGCCAAATAACGGATGGCGGTAAGTTCATTATTTGTTGTTGAAAAGCAAGTAATTCAAGTTCATCTGGTGTACGAATATTATATGCAATATGACCTGGTTGATGGGCAGTTGGTGGATAAGGAAAAAGAACACCAGGAGGTGTAGCCATCAAGGGAGGTGGATGTGGAGCATAATAATTACAACTACCACGTGGTAGGATACTTCGATGACGACGACTATTCGTTGTTGTCGGCTGTGAATTTGATGTTGTTGATACTAGAGATGATGTTGATTGTTGTAAATTTGAATCATTTTCACTTGTTGATACTTGCCTCAAACGAGGAGGTAAATTTTGTGGTGAAACTGTTGTAGAATTACCGGTTTGATTATCTGTTACTGTTGTTGTAGTTGTTGTATTCGTTGTTGTAGCTGCTGATGATGAAGATGATGGTGGTGGTTGAGTTGGGATAACCATTAATGGTGTTGGTTTTTCATTGAATGGTGGCATTGGATAATAATAATAGGGCGCTGGCCCATATGGATAACCATTTGTATAATATGGTGATCGATAATATGGTACTGATGAATATTTGACTTTTGAATTAAATGATCTTTTAGATCGATTATCATCTTCAATATTATTTATTGTTGATTCTTTTTGCTGTTCTTGTTCTTCATTAGTATTGACTGTTGTTATTGAACTTGAATTTACTCCACTATCATCATTATTATTATTTTTCTCTTCTATTTCATGTGTTGAATTATTCCTAGAAATAAATATTCATAAAAAAAATGATACTTCGATATTTATCATACCTTGATTTTTTATCATTTTCTGTAGGTAATTCGTCTTCATTAATGTTTGACTTATCAACTGATAATCTATAATAAATAAGAATTAAATATAAAAAGAATTTCGACAAAAAATAACTTACTCTTGTATCACTGTTATTGCTTGATTATTTTCATCGATTTCATCAATATGATCGTTTTCACTTTGAGTCGTCATTGACAAAAGTAAAAAGTTAAAATGTATTCTTTTCTTTAATATTATGCAAAATGAGCAGTTAAATAAAAACAAAAAGCACAGATGATAGAATAATAGATTTTATATTTCGTTGTCTTTCTTCTTTTTTTTTAAAGTAAAGATAATTGATAATAAATTAAATATCTATTAATAGGAAAGAATAATTCATAAACATAATTGATATTCATTAAATAATGATGACATTAAATATGAAGATGAAAATAATAAATAATGATGACAATAAATTAACATATCATTTCTAAAAAATAGATATATAAATTATTTAATATAATACGTATCATATCGATATGAATAACTGAATCTCTATATTTATCTTACTGAATACTGGGATAAAAAGAATCACTATTTCAACAATGTATTAATAAACAATCGAGAACAATGATCGATTGTGAGAAGCAGCAGACAAAAATATAATTGTCCTATTCTAAAGAAAAGAACTAAAAACCAAAAGACGATAATTTAATATGATGAAAATGTGTTCACTCAATATAATATAGTGTTGTGATAGTTCGACCTTCACAACAAAAACAAATCAATCAATGTCTATGTCTGAATCAATTGTATAGAAGTCATCGAAGTCAGAAATATATTTGCAATGCTAGTTAAAGATGAAACAACAATCTAAAAAGGTTACTCAGCATTTTTTTCTTTCCTTCTGTCTATGTCCAACTGATTGATTTTGTTCAACAGATGTACCTACATCGTTTATACTACGTTGTTACTTCTTAACGTTCTCTATTTTTTTCTTCTCTTTCTCCTTTTCTCCTTCTCTTTTCATATGGTAGCGATAGTTGTAGTTGGTTAGATGTTACAAAAGTAAAAATATCTATCTCGTGTTATAGACCAATGTTTATTAACAATAGCAAAACGTATATTTATTTAAAAAAAGAAATCATTTTATAAAATTTAAAAATAAATGTTAATTAGGAAAAAATACGATTAATTTTTATATAAAAATTATTATTAATATTTCATGATTATCAGCGGCATCTGTGAAAGATTGACTTGCTTAGAACTACCATAATCAATGACCCATTAGATAAACTTATTCATAATTCATAATGCCATCTGTTTTGTATCAATTTTTTTCTTTTTCGGAATTGTCTTGCTAACTGAAAAGAACATTCAGATATTTTTTTAATCATGAATATGTAATATAGATTATTTCGATATAAATAAAATTTATTGAATCGATCATATTTGAACTTGATACATTAAAGGAGATTTATTGGCGTGTCGGTAAAATTAAAAAAAAACGAAATAATATTAATTTCACGTTTAATGATACTCGTGCTTGCGTTCATGCAGAACATATTAACGAAATGTAACGGTATGTCAACACTATGAAATAAATATTCATACAGATTTTACGGTATCTTTTGTAGTAATAATTTTAGTATTCAAATGTCTTAAGGAATTTTAGTCAAGTTTTTCAAAGATCCTGACAAATCAAATTTGAAAGTGTTCATAAGATTGCGATAAGGATAGTTATTTAAAAATATATTTCATAAGACTATTACTTTACTCGTTGTTTTTTTATAAATTTTATGACCTTTATATCATTTTCACTAAACTACATTAAAGAATAGAGTGAAATTTAGTCATAAATCAACGTTTTATGATTACGATATTAAGACATTATAAATTGAAGCATTAAATCATAAAAGAACTAAACATGGTCTATTTTTTATTTACCGTTTCCATTGTCGACGGTAATATTTACAACAACAACAAAGTGACATAAATTTTATAAAAAACTAATAAAAAGTAACATAAAGTTTTAAAAATTCGATTTTCTAATACAGCAAATAAATCATAGAGAATCAATTTAAATATGGTTGATAAAGACTTATCAGTTACTAACCTTCACTGATTGAAGAATATATAATAAATAACTCATTGATATCTCTACCTTTCATTCAATATCAGTTTCTATTGACAACTTAGTCTAACAGACGATATCATTATATATTATATGCTTCTGTAATGTTTTAACATTCATTCGACATCTTACGAATACCAAGTTACATGGCATCAAGTTTTGCTAATGCAAATGTGGTAACTGTACAACCAACATATTCAAAAACTAATCCATTCAAAGAATTGAATGGTAACTGGAATGTTGGTTTATTCGATTGTTGTACTGATGTATCTAAATGTAAATTAATTTTTTTATAACAAAAATTTGACCATCATATATATACGCGCATTATAGGTTGTTATGTATTTTGGTGTACTCCTTGCTACTGTTGTTCATTAGCGAGTAAACTTGACGAATCTATATGGTCATGTTGTTGTGTTGGATACGCACTTCCTATGTACCGAATGAAAGTTCGATCTATTCTGAAAATTCAAGTAAGTTACATTAAAATAAATACCATAATAAATTTGAATTTATTAACTCTAGGGTGATACTTTCAGTGATCATTGTGCAGTATTATGGTGTCCATGTTGTGTTGCTCTTCAGATGGATAATGAACTCAAAGTTCGAAATATTGCTTAAAATATTTCAACACATAACTCGAACTATATAATTTTCAAAATTGAATAACTAAACAAAAAAACGTTTATATATCGATTTAAAAGTTTTAATAATAAAATAATATTTTTTTTTCATTGTCAATCATACAATTCATTCATTGTAATTAATCTAATATATATTATACAGTTATATAAGTATACAAAGCAGTGCCATCTAGCGAATCGAATTCTCGTCATTTTTTCACAGACAAAAAACATCTCTTCTATTGTCTATTTAATAAATATAAAACAGATTCTTCATATACTTTTCTTCTAGATTTTTTTTCTTGTGGAATATTTCCATTATTCACCTATTTTTTATTCTTTCCAAACAATATAATTTTTTGTCTAATCTATACTAAGAATCACAAATCATATTTTATTCTGTATATTTATTTATCATGAGTGATCAAGAACAGCAACTTACCGATAAAATTATCTCGCCTGAAAATCTTGAAGTTATTTCTAAAGATGATAATAATGAAAAACGACAGGAAACGGAGAAAAATCCTAGTGAACAACGTTCAACACAACGAATAACAATGCCACAAGATGTTCGTTATTCAATAGAACAAAATGATCGTGACAAACTAATGGAAAAATATACTAATTATCAAATATCAGATATAAATGCGTGTAATATACGATTTTTAATTGATAGTCAACAGAAAAAAGATTTATTTGGTGAAAATGATGGTAAAAAGCTTACATTTAAAAATATTTCATTGTTCTTATTTCCTTTGTTTTTTGTTTGTAGAAGAAAATTCTAATTTACAGGCATTTGGTAAAATATTTCATGTAAATATATTTGTAAGTAATGAATTTTACTATTTATTCGTCATAAATTTTTGTATGTTTTTTTAGTCTGGTTATCAAAATACGAGCAAACATTCCTATAAAATATTTGGTACTGAAGCTAATGTTCGAAAATGTCTTGTAGAAATAATGAATCGAATATTTAAACAATCTAATCGATCAATACAACATGATTATAATAAAACTAATAATGAAGAAAAACTTCAAATAGCAGAACCTTCGACTCGTGATTCATGTATTACCGAAGAAACGAACTCATTAGGATCGACGAGTAAAACAACTGAAGAAATAGAAGTTTCAACAGGTAAATTTTATTAAGATAAAGTTTTTAAAATAATTATAAAAATTGTTTTTAGAAAACAAAAATGTTGATGATGAATTATCTAAAAATTTAGCATCGACATGTATGATAACAACTAATCCTGATTTATCAGCTGTTGACGAGAAAGAAACTGGTAATTCAAACACACGAAATATAAATGAAGAAAAAAGTAATATTAATATTGAACCAGAACAATTGAAATTTATGCAACTTCAACTAAACTCTCAATTTACATTTATTTTACTGATTTCAAATCAAGGACAAGAAGTTCTTAAAAGTAAAGATCGAATTTAAATTTTTTCCTTTAATTTATTAAAAATTTTCCATTTTAGAAAATTGGAACTTTTTTGCTGAATCATTACAACAACGTTTGAATGTTGTCGTTATAAATGTAAGATATATAAATCCACTGATCAAAAAAATATGAATAGGAGAACGAGGTGTAAATTTGTGAAGAGATTCTTCGCTTTTTTTAAACGGTTTTTGTAAATGTTCTATAGTTAAGTAGAGAAGCTCTTGTTATTCAAAATATGTTTTCAATATTAGATATTCAAGTTAAAAAGAGATCAATCATCACTAATATTTTCTCACTTGTCCTTGTTTTTAAATATACTTTTAACTTTTCTGCATTATTATTCCTTTTCTTGCTAAATATTACCACACTTTATTTTCTTATTCTTTTTTTCACCGCACTCTTTGTTTAAACATTCCTCATAATCTTTTGAATGTTTAATTATTTGAGAATCTTATAGTATCATCATTACTAATCTCTACCTATTATAGCCTGTTAAATTACAAAAATTTGGTGATAAACAAATTCAGAATGAACTTCCAATAAATGGTGAATCAATTGAAAATGTAACTGATGCTTTTTTACAAATCACTGCTTTTATCAATGATATTCTCCGAGTTCCAGTTCGACCATACAAACGTAAGCAAATATTTTTTCTTAAAACTAAAATACAGAATTGTATTATAAACTTTATTATAGCTGCTCAAGAACTAACAGGTCATAGTTCACATCAAAAAAATGGTTCATATCAAAAACAATCACCATCATCATATAACAATCAACATGGACGAACATTTTTTAATCGTAATCGTAATGATATTTTCGAACAAGTAATTCTCATTCGACATGATTGTGTTTCACGTATTGTTGGTAAAGAACTTTACTCATAAAATACGTATTATTATTATAATAATTATTAATTTATATATTAGGTACACGAGCTTCTAATCTAAAACATATTCAAGCCAAATGTCATTTACAAGATATGATTGTTGGTCGACAAGCAAATGAAAATGGTTATGTTGAATGTATCTTAACTGCTTATCAAATACGAAATCTTCATTTTGCTATTGATACAATACGTGATTTCTTAAGAAGTGAAGATGATAGTGCTATTTTAGTAATCAAACCAAATCATGATAATAATTCTTTACAAAAGTCACCTTATTTACATGAACTAGTTCCTCCTAATAATCCACAATCAAATGAAGGAACAGGTATTTACATATCCTTTTTTTGAAATTAAATCTTCTCTTATTTTAAAGGTTTTACAATAAAACCATTCAATTTTGATAATAACAATGCATATCCTCAACCATCTTATAATTTTCAAAATCGACCATCATTTGATTTTACTCATCAGGCAACATCAGCATCACGTAAAACTGATAAACGTCGTGGAGAATTACATGATCAAAATAAAACACCTACTGAATCTCAAAATTTACAATATGAAAATATTTCATCGAATTCACCGAGACATAAATCGAAACGTTCATGTCCAGAAACAAAAGAAATCGATTGTATAACAGATGATGGATTTTGGATACAGAAACAACATTATCATGCATTAGATGATGCATCCAAACAATTATTTGATTCATTAATTGATAAATTAGATAAGATTCGTATTGCAAAAGAAGAAAATGTTGTAAGAAAACAACATCGTCATGTTGGAAAAAATCGATCGAATAAATCGAAAATTTCGAATTCATCCATTTCATATTTTAATGAAGATATTAATCATGATGAAAAAAATCTAACTATTAAAGTTAGTTTATTTATTAAACGATATTCTTTATTTTTAATATTATTTTTTAGGTTGATCAATTGATTGATGTAAATGAAGAGAAAGAAAATAAACAAGAAACATCAACGACTGTAGTTAATCAAGATTAAATGTTAAAAATTATTCATTAGATATAGACAGAATCGATCTTTTTCTTTTTTTTGTTATGACATTGTTAGTTAAATATGTTGGACAGATGTGATATCGAAACATTATTATTAGGATGGATCTATTTCTTTTTTTTTTAAATAAAATCTTTTTTCTTAAACTGTAAAATAAAAATTAATGCCTGTATTTCTTTCGTTTCTTGTCTATCGATTGTTGATATATTTTTTTCTAAGTAAACACTTACGATCAATTGAAAGTCCTTAAATAGGAATTCTATATTTCTCTTCATTTCAAATAAAAATATTATTATTTTTTCAATACAACATTTATTGATTTAAAGTAGGTGTAGATATCAGTTGATTATGAAACTATTCGAATTGAATCGCTACCAATACATACAGTTTTATCCTTTTAAAACGTATATTTTCAATCGATATGATTACATCATTTGTATGCACAGAGGGGATCTAGTTCTAGATTTCTGTTCTTGACACGTGCTGTATGTTATTTATAGCATGTGATCTTTCTTTTCTCTGGCTCGAGGCTGCTCGACGTTCGATTTTTTTTT